ATATATATATAAATAAGAGAATCGCTCACACAACAACATACTTGTGTAAGAAACCCCAGGCTGAAGTTGCCATTATGAGGTCCATGTTAGATAAGCCATTCTGCTGTTGGCGACACATCACCAGCAGCAGCAGAATCACACATGTGAGGGAACCACTTCCCTGGTATCTCTGCTGACTTCAAAACACCTCCTCCTTATGATGATAAGGGGTAGGTGTTCTGTAGTCCTGTGTTAGTTTGACAGAGCTGTACCTCTATAGATACAGTATGGTGAATGAGCCTTGTTCACCCTCGGTCATCCTTTGTTAGTGACAAAAGAAAAAAAAGCCTGAAAAAAGAAAACTAATGCAAGCCACCACATCCAAGGGCTGGTAAGCTGCATTATATTACATTTTCATTCTTGGGTTTACATACACTTTAACATAACAAGTAGTAAAGAAGGGAACCTATTACATAATTATGTAGAACCAGCTTAATCTTCGTACAACTACACAAAATGAAAGATCAAAAGAAAACATTGTTAGTAAGATCTATTCCCTCATAGAAACAAGGTGCTTAGTTCTCCATTTGAACAAAGTCTCTTAGTTGTACAGGAAAAAAATATCTGCTGCAAATGTAATTACATGCATTTACCAGCTTCAGTGCACTTTCCCTTAAGCAGAAGATGTCTTCTTTTCCAAAAATGCCTTTCAGTGGTATGTTAGAAGCCCTTTATTATCACAAGGCTTCAGATTATATTGTTTCTTTCTTCTTTCATTGTAAATGTAGCAGCCTGGAATGACATTCATTTTGGCTTTGCTTTGTGTTTTTTGTTTCCCTAACACTGACATGTGAGAATACAGAGGGAACAAAGGAGAAAATGTGTGAGTGTCATTGGCGATGAGAAATTCTTCTAATCCCCAGCCAGGACAAAGGTTCCCAAGTGCCGATGGATATGTTAGTACAGAAAAGCACCTTTTTTGCTACCTAGGTGGCATTTTAGAGCATCCATTACATATGTCTCATTTCACAAGGACTTTCATAGAACAGTGCTTATAAGTCATAAACCCGGAAACACTAGTGTAGTAGGAAGTTATTTCATTATTACTTCGCATGCACTTTTAGAACTACTCAAGCACAGAATCTGATTAGTTGCTTTGATTATAGGC